CGAAAGAAGTCAGGGGCTCTCTCTTGCCGACCCCAAACATGCAAGCTTCCGTGAGTGCAGCAAGTAGGAAACGGAACACCACCGACCACATCGTGACCCCAGAAGAGGACCCGGGCTCGGAGGGGACCCCAGCCCCGGCTGACAGCTCGACTGCCATTTTGTGAAACCTTGAGCAGAGACCCCAGTTAGGCTGTGCCTGGAATTCTGATCCATGGAAACTGTGAGATAATAAATACTAGATTTAATTAAGCTGCTTAAAAAAAAACAAAACTAAACCAAAACACAACACAACACACATTTCAGAAAGCGGTAAGTATGCTGTATCAGGTTGAATTAAGATGTAGAGAGTGATGGGGGGCCTTCATGGATTTGGGTGGTCCAGGAAGCCCTCTCTCGGGGTGACTTCTAAGCGGGAGTGAGTCTGAGGAGAGAGCCCGCGAGGAGGCCTGTGGGGGGAGAGCCCTATGGACAAAGGCACAGCCAGTTCCAGGGCCTTGCCAGGAAGGTTTGCTCGCTCCAGGCGGGAAGGGCGGCCGGGGTGGTTGGAGGGATGTCAGGGTCAGGACAGCAGAGCAAGAGGGTGGGGGGGTGAGTAGCAAAAGCCGGGTTACACAGTGATGCCACTAAGGACAGAGGGTTTGGGTACCCCTAGGACCCACGTGCTGAGATTCTAACCCCCAAGGTGATGGTATTAGGAAGAGGGGCCCTTAGGAGGTGATTAAGTCACAAGGATGGTGCCCTTGTGACTGGGATCAGCGGTTAGGGTTAGGATTAGGCCCTCATAAAAGCATCAGAGAGCAGCCCCCACCCACCCAGTACATGCACAAGCCCATGTACTAAGTTCGGACTTCCTGGCCCCCTGGAACGGGGAGAAATACATTTCTGCTGCGTATTTTGGTCCGATCTCTGGTATTTTGTCATAGCAGCCCAAGCTGGCTAAGACAGCTTCTAAAAAAAAGGTAAAGAATTTGGGTTTTACCTGTGCTCTGACTAGAAGCCTCTGGAGGGCTGGTAGCAGATGAGCGACCTATCTGATTTACGGTTGTTAAAAAAATATGTTAACTGTGAAGGACGGATGGCTGAGTGCCAGAGTGGAGCCAGTCAGGGCGTCTAGACGGGAGGCTCCGGGTCAGCTGCGACCCGGGTGGTGGCAGAGGTCATGGGTGTCCCGCAGGAGCGGGGGCGGCAGGGAGTGGCGGGGGTCGGCCATTCACACTCAGCTTGAGGATCTGCATCTGTGCGGGGGGGGCGCGGAGGTTCCCCAGCGAGAGAACTACAAGTAACCGTGCTCTCCCCCCACGCCCCTCCCCCCATCCTGTGCTGTCTCTCTCCCTGCCCTGCTGAGTGCTGCGATGACTCATCCAGATGCTAATCTCTGGCACTTGCCTGCATCCAGCTGGTGTCGCGCCAGTCCGGGCTAGCTTGGCTCCTGGAGGCCCTGCCAGAGGGGAAACGGGCTCCCCACCACCACCCCCAGCCTCCTGGCCAGGCAAAGCCGCCCCCGCGTAATTAGCGGCCTGGTCTGTGCGGCAGGCTAATCAAACAATTTGTTGCTGGTCACGTCACAAAGGTACAGCATACCCTGTTCGGCCTGGGCACTGGTTAAATCTGGACCAGAGTGGTGCACGGCACGGGCCGTCCTCCTTCACGGTGGAACAGAGAAGAGGCTGTTCACAGGATTCTGCTGGTTTGTGTTTGGTTTTGTGTTTTGGCCCTGGTGAAATTCTACCAGTGGCAACTGAAATTCCATCCTTGGACTCTGGACCCCAAATTTACCTTTTTCATGCTTGCATACCCTTCCATCTGCTTGGCATGCCCTTGCCTGGCCAGCCCTGGGCCCCTGCCACAGTGGGTCCCCCCAGCTGTTCTGGAAGCTTAGGTCTAATCCTTTGGGCCCCAGTCTGTGCCCGGGTGCAGATGCCTGGAATGCCAATCTGGGCGAAAGCTTGAGCTCTGAGGCCTTTTTGTCCCATTTTGCCATAAATACCTGTAGTATAAATGATGCCTTGCCTTAGGCATGAGGTGGCTGTTGCTGGTGGCGGACATGCTGAGCACGGGAACAGGCCAACCCTAGAAGGTTAACTTCTAGAGGTCAAGGACTGGTCAGGTTCTGGGAGGGTTCGGTGCTGACACATGGGGTTCTAGACGTCAAAGCATCCCTTCAGGGTTGACCCCTGGGCCTCTCAGTAGCTCCCTCTGCTGAGCAGGGATGGGGGAAGGACAGCTTCTGAGTCAGCTCTCTCTGCAGCTAACTGAGCCAAATTCACAGGGTCAGCAGAGGGCACATGGTCTGGGCACTGCTCCCATGGCTGTATCTGGCCTCATTAGAAAGGATATGAACTTGAGGAGGAAGAAAGTGTTCTCCCACCCTTTGGGGGTTCAGCTTCCCAAAAAGACCCCTGTTTGAGAGATCAGCCCTTTGTGGCTTCGTCCTTGATCCCCCTCCTGCTAGAGCCTGGCCTGACGGTGCCATGATGGGTGTGGACACCTCTTGTCTCCCTAGCCTCTTTTGGGAGGACAGAACTCTACTTATGGACACAGGTAACAAAGCTTCACGGTGGATGGAATGGGTTAACTCCAACCAGGACAGTGCCCCAAGCAGCAAGAAACAGCTCTTAGAACGGCAACTTCTCCAAAGCTCTTCTTGATGCTAACATTTTATCATGAACTTTGATTTTGCTGTTAAGAAAAAAAAATACAGCGCATGTCCTAGAAAGCAGATTTCGTCGAGCCCCTCAGGAACCAGGGCTCGGGGACTTCTGCATAGTAATCACCGAAGCCCTCTTACGGCGCTTGCCTATCACTTGCTGCAAGTGGGGCGGGGGGCGGGGCGGCTTGGAGAAACAGTCCTACAACTTGGGAGAGCAGAGGGAAGAAAGCAACTCACGAAAGGCCTTGGCCAGCTGGGTCACCCCGAGGAGCCTAACATTTTACCACTGGAGAGAACGTTACGGTTCAGCTGTTCCACGGGCTCTCAGCTCCTTCTTGCTCCTGACGATCACCCCCAGAAGTCCTGCTGGGATCACTCTGGGGCGAGGGCCCAGAACGCGTCAGTATTTCTAAGAGCTCTTCCAGTGACGGGGCTGTGTGTGGTGATTGAGAAGCATGAAGGAGGGGATAGGGGAGCCAGGCACCCACTCACACAGCCTGAAGGGTGGGGGCCTCCGATTCCGAATCAATCAAAACTTTCAGACCCTCAGCCCCAGAGCCCCCGTCCCTCGCCTCCCTCGGAGAGAGTCCCACCAATGGTCCCAGGTGAGCAGGATGGCCCCTGACCCCCCCCCGGCCACAGCTGTGGGCCCAGCCACTGTCACTCTGTTCTGGCCCACTTACGGCCTGCCCGATGGTGTGTGATCCGGCCAGAGAGGATCAAAGGGCCGATCACATTCTTCCTCAGTCTCTCTGGAAGGGGACTTGAGCCACCCAGAAGGAAGCTGTCGGGGTTGAAAGGTCCCGGACACTTAACACCTGGGCAGGCTGTGAGCCTTGCTCGGGGCCCAGAGAGAGGGGCGCGCATGCAGGGAGCTGCAAACACCTCGAGAGGGCAGGGATGAAAGCATGTGAGCTCCCAGAGCTTGAGGATTCTGGCTCTGCCCAAGGCCTGTTTACTCAGCTTTTCTCCGATTCCTGGGAGACTTTTCTAGAGCCTCAGAAAAGCCCGTTGACGGGAGCCTGTCTCTGTATCACCAAAAGTGTCTTAGAGGGAATGCTCAGGACAAACAGAGCCATTCTACTCTTATCTTTTTACCTTTCAGGGTCTGAGGGAGACTTTGACTGGAAGGTGGAAACAGGTCTCCACGGTTGCCTTAAATAGAGTGTAGAGGTCAGGGCCCAGCCCCAGCCTGGCTTCACTGAGGACATGGGGCATGGACAAAGGACGGGCAGGTCTTGTGGGCCTGTGTCTGAGGGACACCAGAAAGAGGGATGTAGGGGCCACCAGAGAGCCCCGCTCGCTCCCTCATGACCGCAGGCATGGGACATGTGACTCTCTGGGGCAGAGGGCTCAGTCAGCCTGGGAAGCTTCATCTCGTCTTGGGCCCATGACGGCTATGCGTCAGGGTATGAGGGCAAACTGGCCGGCCCCAAGACGAATTCTCCCAGCCGCCCGCTCACTGGCCCTCAGACGTCTCTTCGTACACCCGGAGGGACAGAGGCCGCCGTTCCTCAGACTGGCCCACCCCTCTGCCTCCCATCTCTGCCCAGACACCTCACAGAGGGGACCCGAGCTGGCCATAAGCACACGGCGCCTGGAACCTAATGGACATTGTTTCCAGGTGGAAGACTCGCTTTCCTTTCTTCCCATAAATACGACCGATTCCCGGTGTCTGAGCCCAGCTCCCCGCGGCGCATCAGTCCACTTCTCCTTGTGGAGCAGACCCAACGGTGAGCTGCAGCTCCGGCTGAGACCGCAGGGAAGAGAGGCGCACACGGAGTGTGGACCAACTTGACTTCCCGTGGACTGGAACCCGTTCCTGCCCAGCCATATAGTTCTCTGTACCTATAATGCTTTCTAGGGACCCTGGAGCAGTTCATGGCCGTGACACTGGCAGGCAGACAGTAAGGGAGACAGACATGAGAGAAGTTCCAGCCCTGCCTACCACCCTTAGACTGCCTTACTTTGAAACGACAGCAGCATCGAGGACCCATAAATCAAGGTGAGGATAAGTTTTTGAAAAGAAAACTGCCCAGCTTCCCACCCCAAAGTCCAGAATGTGCATAAAATGCCAGAGCATTTTCTGAGTTCGTGCTTTTGCTGGGTCTGATCCTCTGTCTGTGCCACGGCCACACCATCTTTCCCACACCAGGCAGTCGGACTCCAGAGAGTGAAGGACCAGATCTTATTAGCCTCTGCAACCCCAGAAGCTGGCACAGGGACAGAGAGCTACGAGGAACTCAAAAACATGTCTGATGAATGAACGAGTGTCCCCTAGCCGTTCTCCCAGAATCCCCGTAGCCAGGACCTTTGCCCCCCAAGAGCCCCCCCGAGCCCGCAGCCTTACCTCCCATGAGGAAGAGAAGCCCTGCCACATACTGCATAAGGCCCCGGTCCCAGCAGCAGCCCAGCACGCCGATGATCCAGCCGAAGAGGATGATGGCCACCGCCATGCCCATGAAGCCGGCTGTCATCCTGCGCAGATCTGCGGGGAAGAAGGGGGCACAGCGGTTAGCTCCAGAATCTAGACCTCGGGGTCAAGGTGCATCCTGGCCCTGGGCAGAAGTGGGGAGTGGGAAGGCAACCTACGCTACTCAGACAGGTTTGCATCACCCAGCTCCCTCTGTAGAGGAGAGAGCGCCCGGTTGTAGCTATCCTTGGGTGCAGAAAGCAGGCCAGGACAGCTGGGTTCGCAAGCACAGGGTGAGATCGTCATCATCACTGCTGTCATTTCTTATACACCTCCTTGGTGCCAGGTGTAGCACTGTCCTTCCTGAGCATCTGGCTCAGCCGTTGGAGGGGGACGGGTACTGTCTTTATCCCTATTTGAAAATGGATTGAACTGCTGATAGGCATACACGTGGAGAGTGGAAGAACAGGGTATCGAGTCCAGATCTGTATGGCTCCTGGTTGTCCCTCTGTCATCACCCACCTCTCCTGTGGAGGAGGGCGGGGTCTCGGGCGGCTGGCTGCGCCTGCTGGGAGCTCCTTCCTTTCCCTCCCGGGTTGACTGGAAGAAGGAGGAAGCTGCTGCTAGTGTCTTGTTCCTTATCCTCCGAGCCAGCTCCCGGGGGCTCAGCTTTCGCTGTATGTGGGTCTGCAGGCTGGGGAGCCACACGACCTGCTCTCACACGGAGCCCCTGGGCAGGCCTCTTCTGCTCCCAGGACACAGGTCAGCTCAGCTTTCTGGGTCTGGCCTTTTCCCGTTCCACACCTCACTGACTCTGCCGTACAAAGCCAATGTGGGTAAAGGCAGGAGAAGAGCTGTCTGGAGAGGCAGCATTTTCAGAGGAAGGGGGAGGGCAGAGCTGCTCACACATCTCAGCCTCTCCCTCAGCACCTTGACCTTGACTCTCTCCACTGCCCTCAGTGCGTGCCCCCACCCGCCTCCCATGCCCTCCCTGTCATCCAGCCTTCTCACCGCTGCTTGTCCTTGACTCCCTCCACCCTGCCCCAGCGCCCACCGGCCTGCAGATCCCTGTCCATCTCTTTGGTCCGTGCAGAGCTCATCTGCCAGCCCCAGTCCCAGCCCCAGTCCCAGCCCCAGTCCCGCCAATGGGGCCAAACAGAAGCAAACCACCAGCCCAGTCTCTGAGCCCAGGGGGTTGCCAGTGCAGCCTGGAGGACCCCATGGGCATTTCCCTCTCTCAAAGGAAGGGAGGGAGAGTGAGGGTGTAGGGGAGGGCACCCAAAAGCAAACTACATCCCCCTCCAGGGAGACACAGGTCAATCGCCTTGCATCCCCCCCAAGTACCCGGTTTCTGCACACCATGAGGGTGTCCCATTTCCTCTGTTCCTCTCCCACTCCAGTCACCTCCATTGGGAGCCATGGCAGATCCTGGCACAGTCAGACTAGAGAACGCTCAGCCTTCTCCCCTGACCTGCCACAGAAGATGAGAGGCTGGGAGCCGCCCCCCACCCCCACCCCACCGCCGCCAGAGTAGCTGGCTGGGGTATAGGGAGGGAGGGACAGAGGAGGACAGCCTGGATGGGAAGCAGGACAGGACCCTGTGGCAGAGGCAGAAATCCATCCACGGATTTCTGCCACGGATTGCATCCACAGAATCCATCCAGCTTTCTGCTCTAGCTGTTCTCCTCGGTCCTCCCCTCCCCAGCCTGGAATGCCCGCCCCGGCCATGTAGAAGCAATGCCCATTGTAGTCACTGCTCGGAACTGCCAGAGCTGCCTAATTATCATGCCACACGACACAGAAGGCGACGACCTCCGATGTGTTGGAGGAAGCCTGGGGCAGGCGCCGCTCCATCCCAGCGCTTGGATGTGTGCCGCACGTCCCGGGTGGCTCCTGGCCTCCTGCTCAGGCCCCCGTGGCCAGCTTGAAGGGAGGAGGCCTGGCAGTCTTGCTGGGTGCACAGGCCCTTATCCTGGGAGCTGACTGCCATGGCCTTGCTGGCCCCTGTCGCCCCACCTGGCTCCTTCTGCTGCCACCTGCTCAGCCCTTCTTCCTTCGAGGCCACCCACAGTCCTTCGAGGGAGCCAGGCCCGAGCTGCCTCCCTGGTGGAGAAGAAACCCCACCTTGATGCATGAGTCCATCTGGGCTGATCCCTGGAAACGCCTTCATCCACGCTCCACCGCAGTCAAGGGCAAGGAGACAGCGGGAGTGGGAAGGAGAGGTCTGGGTATGTTTGGAGAAAAGTAGGTTCATATCCCCCTTAAACAGATCAGGAAATTTTGTCCTAGGCCTCTGTGAGACCACCAGTTTCCTTTTTGGTGCATGAGGGGCTTCTAATGTCTTGGCTGCTTTGGCAATACTGGAGACAGACAACACTGCTGAAGCCACAAAGCACCCCTCCCTGCACGGCCCCCCCCCCGCGTGTCCCCCCACCCCGACCCTGCCGCCACACCTGGCCTTGCTCATGGGAAGCCTTCCTGGTCCTCAGGCTCTGCCCATCTACGGGACCAAAGGTACTGCCTGGGGGATTAAGTGGACAATGTGTACCATAAGGCGTGTCCCCTTGGGCCTGGAATGGACAAACAGGGCTGGACAGGAAAAGGAAATGCCATCAGAGGAAGCGGAAAGGCCATAATGGTTGCAAGAAGGAAGCCAAGTCTTGGACTTCGAGGAAAAGGCAGAGAGGTAGGGACATGAAGAAGGTAGTTTCTCTTGCAAAAGTTCTGAGACAGGGAACTGTCACCTATGTCCCAGGTCTGAGAGGGGCTGGGGCCCCTCGAGCACAGATTAGGGGCGCTCTGCCAGCGAAAGCTGAGGGCCGGGCTAAGTTGTTGATCTGGAAAGCAGGATGAAGACCAGAGGTCAGGCCCAAATATTTTCACTGACCAGGAGGCCTTTTGCTGTCACCCTGTGAGTACGAATTTACAGGGTGATGCACGCATGGTTGGGTATTTTGTCCTCAGACTTCTGTAGTAATTCAAGGCAGCTGCGGCAACAGCTTGCAAGGGACACAGGACAAGAAATAGTCCTATTTTCTGGACAAGGAAAGCAAGATCCAAAGAAGTTAAATAACTTATCGACAAACCAGTGACATAAAGGGAGAGTGAGCTGTGTGGGAAAATAAAATTAATAACGCAGTTAAGGACCCACTGGGTTGTCATGGAGATTGAACAAACGTATTGAGCATTTCTTCCTCCCAAATACACTGAGGACCATCGTTCTGAGATTTTTTTTTTTTCTTCAAGGACAGGCATCCACAAGGATGGGCAAACAGGACAGGGAACAACCCAGGATCGGAAGCGGCAAAGCTGGTGGGCAGTGCACTTGGCTAAAGCCAAACTAGATGCGGATGGCGGGCGAGCTGCAAACCAACCGCCCCGGGGCCCGGAGGCTCGCGAACCCACAGCTGCAGGTTCCTCTGGATCAGGCCGTTAGTTACCCAGAGGGGAGGAGCATCCAGGATGTGGTGGCAGCTGTCTGGATGGAACTAGATCCCCTCATCCACTCCACAATGCTGAGGGACTCCTCAGGGGCTGGGGGGGGCGGGGCTAGCACTGGCATTGACAAACTCAGCAAGGCTCATTCCCCGTAGCTGATTAAGTGGCCGTTCACATACAGAATGTTGGCAGGCTTGTCCTTGGGACCCTAGCCCCCGAGTGGAAGCTGGCTGCCTGGCCTCTGACGTCCAGCCTGGGGACCAGGAGAAGTCTTTCCAGCGAAGACCAACACAAGAGGAAAGACCTAGGCACCCAGCACTGGGGGAGCCCCACAGGCACCCCTCCCACCATTCTGCAGTAGAGCGTCCCATAGACACCCCCACCCCTCAGAGCTTCCCTGCAGCGATCTGGCCCCGCCCCCTGACAACCCAGTGCCTGTAACCAGGGCCAAAGAACTTGAAGAAACAAGCTGCAGAGAGAAGAGGCAATAATTCAAAGTTATTATTAATATTCCCAGAGAGGCAAGACACGAAATGTATTTTGTCTCCATGAAATAAGGACAGGAGTCTATTGAAAACATCTGGAGAACAAAACTAACCCCTTAAAATAGCAGAGTCAAAGTCACTGAAATTGATATTAAAAAATCGATTCTAATTTATGTATTACCAGCGCTATCATGTTCCTAAGGAAAGATGTAAGGAGGCTTACAAAACACACACGGTGTAACAGGATAAAAATAATGAGAAAACGAAGGGAACAGAAAAGGGAAGAAGAATCTGGATCTCACATGCTCGTGGGAGATCTTTTGTAAAGGAAATGATGCTGGCTGTACCTGAGCTGAAAGGCAATACGCGTGGTTTTCACTGTCTTAAAATCTTTGTTGTTTCCCGTTTGCACTTGAGTGAATCCCGCATGTCACTCTGCCTGTGGAATGGGCCAGGTGCCAACGACAGCCCCCATTCCTGCCCATCCGCACTGCCCTATGTGCCTACTTCCTCTCCTCGGGAGTAAGAGACCTCCTGGTTCCCTCTGTGACTGCTCACGGCGCCCACGGCAGGGCTCTGTACCCAGGAACATACGTAGCTTCTATCTCATTCCCCATTTCTTCCTGTCTTTTTAGAGAAGAAAGAAAACCCAACTCATGTATCTGAAACCTTGTTAGAATACCATGCAGGGTCGACCTAAGAAAAACCCTTAGAAAGATCCCGGGATAGAGCTGAGATAGAGAAAAATCTTCTCATGAACCCTCTTGGGTTGGAGCCCATCACCTGTATTCCAGCACCCAGACGCTTAACATTCTAAGTTTTGAAACGAGAAAGGTGCATTCTCAACTTTTTAGAAAAAGCATTTAATTCAGCACAGTGGAAATGGTGCGCAAAGGGGGCTGGATAATGAGGGAGGGTGGAGGAGGAAAGGCAAGGAGAACCATTAAATAGAACCAGAAAAAGCAGTTCTCCCTCACAGAAAATTTTGATTTTGAAGTTTACGGTCCTATTAACATTTAAATTGAAAGGTATTGCTTGCAACTCTACATGGGAAACCAGGGTATCTGCATTTAAATAAATACCACTTAGAGAAGGAAAATATATATAGGCTCTGAATATCTTTCTATTTGCTCTTTAAAGACCTTACACAGA